TAGTGGGCAATAGCATGCACTCAAGGCGATAACTAATGCGATGATATACTATAAGGACAGTGCGTGTAAGGTGATAACCTTACAATGCTACCATATAGGGGGATAGCTTATAAGGGGATTAGACAAGATCAAAACGCCATGCAATATTTTTATTGCATCGCTTTGTAACTAATCGCAAAATATGCGATGCGATATATTTTTCAGGAATCTGGTTATCCCTTATTGCACAATGGGCGGATTTAAGTAATCATCGCATTTGCCACACATTAAATCGCGCGATGCAATGTAATATCGCATCACATTTTAGAAAATGGGAAAAACGGGGGGGGGGGGTGGTTGGAGAGATAAAAAAAAGCGGCAGCCCTGCACGAGAATCAAGTTGGCACACTACAGCAACATCTAGGGTTTCAGCTCCTTTTATATCAGCTCTTACACCTAAACCCTACTGTGTGTGGGATGCTATGAGCTACGTTGAGTGTGTACTAGATAAGTCTAACGCTCCTAGGCTACGTAGGAAGGAGGTGGGTGGGGGTGGTGATAACAAGCAAAAAACGAATGCCTTTCTGATTCTGCAAAGGAGAAACATAATGGCAAGATTTTTTTGGATTTTTGTTGGCCAAAAAAACCGCAATCACAAAAAAACGATAATTGCGATACGATGCGAAGCGATGCGATGCGATATGCTCATGTCTAAAGGTGATAGCCCCTTGCGTGTGTCTTCATAATTTTATAAGTCTATCGACTAGTCGACCATAAAAAAAGTCCCGCATAGTCGATAGCGTTGGGCCGTGCCTTCATGGTGTGTCCATGCACCACCTTTAAAAGTCTCACTTACTTAAACGCGGCGTCGATGGCGTTGTGGCGGGTCTTTATGGCGTGGCCGGACTCCTTCACCACGTTCACGAAGTTGGGGATGCCCAGCATGACCGTCATGCCCAGCAGCACCTGGGCACGCGTGTAGTAGGTGTAGCTGATGGGGGGAAGGAAGGGAGAGAGAGAGAAAGGGGGGGGAAGGAAAGAAAGGCTGAGCAACCCTGGATGCGCAGCATGGCCGTCACGCCCAGCAGCACTTGTGCACGTGTGTAGTACGTGTAGCTGACAGGGGGAAGGGGGGAGGAGGGGGATGAGAGGGGAAGATGTGGGGTTTGAGCAGGGGGGCGGGGGAGCGAGAGCAAGCGGAATGGCGAGCGAGAGGGAAACGGGGATGCTTTGAAGTTGACAAACTTGGGGATGCCCAGCATGGCCGTCACGCCCAGCATGGCCGTCACGCCCAGCATGGCCGTCACGCCCAGCATGGCCGTCACGCCCAGCATGGCCGTCACGCCCAGCATGGCCGTCACGCCCAGCATGGCCGTCACGCCCAGCATGGCCGTCACGCCCAGCATGGCCGTCACGCCCAGCATGGCCGTCACGCCCAGCATGGCCGTCACGCCCAGCATGGCCGTCACGCCCAGCATGGCCGTCACGCCCAGCATGGCCGTCACGCCCAGCATGGCCGTCACGCCCAGCATGGCCGTCACGCCCAGCATGGCCGTCACGCCCAGCATGGCCGTCACGCCCAGCATGGCCGTCACGCCCAGCATGGCCGTCACGCCCAGCATGGCCGTCACGCCCAGCATGGCCGTCACGCCCAGCATGGCCGTCACGCCCAGCATGGCCGTCACGCTCAGCATGGCCGTCACGCCCAGCATGGCCGTCACGCCCAGCATGGCCGTCACGCCCAGCATGGCCGTCACGCCCAGCATGGCCGTCACGCCCAGCATGGCCGTCACGCCCAGCATGGCCGTCACGCCCAGCATGGCCGTCACGCCCAGCATGGCCGTCACGCCCAGCAGCACTGGGGGCCGTCACGCCCAGCGTCACGCCGTCACGCCTCTGCGCTGTGCGTGTGTAGTAGGTGTAGCTGATGGGGGGAAGAGAAAGAAAGAGGGGGGGGGGGGGGGGAGGGAGCGGGGAAGGTGATAAGCTGAGCAACCCTGAATGCCGATCATCACACCATCGTGCCTAGCAGAGCTTTTCACAGCGCAGAGGCAAGGGGTTCGGGGAATGTGTGTGTGGGGGAGGGGAGGGGAAGGGGAGCGTGGGCCAGGGGGGGGGGAAGGGAGGGGAATGGGATTTTTTTTATTAAGTACCGTATCTTATTCAGTTCTTTTCAACCAGATAGCAGCAAATTCCTTCCTTTTTACGGTGCAGGGTAAGTAAGCATAAAAAATCACTGAAGGTAGAGTGCACACGTTACACCACGTACCCGATACAGTGCAGGAACGCCACGCGGAAAGCCCCCCCCTCCAGATCTCCAACCTGCGCAACCGCGTCCCTCACAAACCCCTCGTCGCCCTTCAGCAATCACGCACTCCACAATATACGCGATACAGCTCATACCCGATACAGTGCAGGAACGCCAGGCCAAACGCCTCCCCCTTGAGATCCTCCACCTGCGCCACCGCGTCGCGCACAAACCCCTCCTCGTCCCCCGCCAGCCACGGCTCCAGCCTCTTGAGCAGAATCGCGGCGAGATCTTTTTCCCTCGTCGCCTGCCACTTCTTCACCTCAGCAACCGTCAGATTCCCGGCCGCAGTGTACGCGATAGTGAGCTCCCCGACCAGCGGCTTGAATTTATCCGCGCCGAAGGACATGGTGAAGAAAGCGCCGGGATCCATGAACGTGTCGTCCAGGGCCGCGCGGCCGAAGCGGTCGTACTTCTCGCGCTTGTCAGGATCCATGAGGACCTGGTAGGCTTCGCCCACCGCTTGGAATTTCGCCTTGGCGGTCTCGTCGTCGGGGTTCTTGTCCGGATGGCACGTACGCGCCAGCTGCAGACGCGGTAGAAGTGCGAGAGAAATGGCGGAGTAGGAGAGAAATGGCGGAGTAGGAGAGAAAATGAAGTGGCGGAAAGGGGTGGGGGGGAGTAGTACAGGGTGTGGCGAAGAGGAAGGGAAGCAAAAGGGTGTCTGCGACGCGCGCGATGCGTGCGATGTGTGCGATGTTCGACGCGTGCGATGGTCACAGCGCGGTATGGAGCGTTCTAGACATGATTCGAAAGCTCTGCTCCGAAAAGAAAGAGTAAAGTCATGCGCGTTCAACGCACAGAAGTCGTACACGTGTCAGATGCTCCTGACGACAAATTTATCGAGAGGAAAAAAAGATCGAAAGGAAAAAAGATCGAAAGGAAAAAAAGATCGAACAAGACGAGAAAAAAACTCTTCACTTTTCCGCGGCTCCCGCCAGGCATCCCTCTGTTTCAAGCGAAGCACTAATACTAGAGCTGCACAGCACCCCCATCACCACCCACCTTGTAATACGCCTTGTATAATGTCCCGCGGAGTCCGCGGAGCAGGGAGCGAAACCTCCTTCTCACCTCTCCCCCTCCTCCTCCACCCCTCGCATCACCACCAACACCACCACGCACCTTGTAATAAGCCTTCTCAATCTCCGCCGATCTCACCCACCCCCCCCTCACCCCACCCCCCCGCACCACGCACCTTGTAATACGCCTTCTTAATCTCCACAGACGTCGCGTCGGTCGACACCTCCAGGACCACGTAGAGCGCGTCGTCCTTGACCTCCCTCTTCTCCCGCTTTTCCGCGGCGGCCGCGGCGGCTGCTGCTGCGGCGTCATCCAGCGCGATCTTCTCGACGGTCTCGCGCGTGTGCGAGTAAGTCTCCTCGTTAACACTATCCGCGTCGGCGTCATCATCTAATAACTCCATCTTCTCCGCCTCCTCCTCGCTCTTATCCTTCTTCATCATCTCGCGAATATAGTCGGGAGTGTTCTTAATCCCCGTCCCTAGCTGCTGCGCGCCTTGCACGATTCCGACGGTAGGGAGAACGACGAGCCCCGCGACGCCCACCATTGTTCCTTTGATGAGCCCAATCGGGCCTTGCTGTACAAGTCCCGCAATTGGCGCTGCAACCATCCCTCCGACGCCCGCGAAGACGCCCTTACCGACGGACATCAGCCCCTTACCCAGGCCTTGGCGAAAGTTCTTCGCGTTGCGGTCGCCATAGAGCTGGTCGATGCGCTCCTGAACCTCCGGGAGGGTCATCGGCTGTATGCCGCCGATGGGAGGGGGGGGATTGGAAGCCATGGCTTTTTCTCTAGCCGAGATGAGACTCTCAGTCTCCGCTAATAGTCGGAGTTAGCAAAGGCGGATAGTGTAGGAGCGGGAATGGAGACTCGTTCGCACCGAATGCGGAAACAAGAATTGTACTGAGGGCGCGTAACATTTTTACGAACTTCCGAACCTATGTTCAAAAGAGCAAACGCTTCGCAGAGCTTCGCGAAGGGCGAGTATGCTAACGAAAACCAGAAAGAACATGGGGAGAATTGGGCTTTAGGGCATGTCATTATTTGGGGTGGGAATTTCGGGGCTGTCGCGACAATTTGACGAGTGTCGCGAAGGTGGTTACATTCGCCAAAACTTGGTTCTCGCTTCATGTTCACAAAAATGTGACGCGCCCTGAGGGTAGCAATTCAGAACGTATGGCATCTGACACGCCGTGAGGCAGGCTGGTCGCTACTTTTCCTCTATGGGCTCTGCGCGTTTGGTTTGAAGTTGTACATCAGATGCGCGAGATACTGGCCGTCCGATGGAATTTGAACGACTGCTCCACGCGCTTCTACATTTGTCGTTGTACGGTTTCAGTCAGATGAACGAGATATACAAGCCGTGCGATGGAATCTGAACGACTGCTCCACGCGCTCTACATTTGTCGTCCGGTTCAGATGCGCGAGATACTGTACTGGCCGTCCGATGGAATCTGAACGACTGCTCCACGCGGTATTAGATTTGTCGTGTTGTTCAGATGCGCGAGACACTGGCCGTCCGATGGAATTGAACGACTGCTTCACAAATCGCGGCTGGTAAACAAGACCGGAGGACAACAATGAAGCAACGTCGCGAATTTTGGGTGCCACCGCCTTGTCGTCACTCGCACCCACAGGTCAAGCTGTACGCTGTATAAGAAGTAAATGATAACCTATAGAGATGCAACAGTCAGTCTATTGCAAGCTTTGAAGACATCAAGGATAGCTTTCCATTGTGTGATATACTCTTCAACGAGTTACACTGTAGAAACCACCATTTAGAGACACATCAAGATGGGCCTGTTAGTTGCAGCACTAGCAACCTTGTACCATAACATGACTTCACCTTTCATGCTTATGACCCAGTTCCTCCCCTAAAGAATCGTCCAAATGGATTGAACATGCTCACCCGTTGCTGCCGCTCGGTAGCAGCCCTCTGCCTCTCCTCCCGTTTACTCTGCAATTCCTCCGTCTGTTGTCTCAAGCGTTCCTTCCCCCCTCTTCCCTGCCCACTCCCTCCCTGCATCTTCCCCCTCCCACTTGCAGTTGTGGAGCGTGGCGCTGATGTGGCATGGAGACGTTTCAGTCGGCATGACTCGTCGTGCTGCTGCTGTTTCCTGGAGGCTTCTAGTGTGTGAAGCTGCACACAGGGAGGAGGAGCAACAGCGTATTCCAGGGGGGGCAAAAGGGTTAGCGTTGGGGCTTGTTGGGAAGTGAAGTTTGCATTGGGGTTTGTTGGGAAGTGAAGTGTGCATTGGGGCTTGTTGGAAAGCGGGGTTTGCATTGGGGTTTGTTGGGAAGTGGGGTTTGCATTGGGGCTTGTTGAGAAGTGGGGTTTGCCTTGGGTCTTGTTGAGAAGTGGGGTTTGCATTGGGGTTTGTTGAGAAGTGGGGTTTGCATTGGGGCTTGTTGAGAAGTGGGGTTTGCATTGGGGTTTGTTGAGAAGTGGGGTTTGCCTTGGGGTTTGTTGAGAAGTGGGGTTTGCATTGGGGTTTGTTGAGAAGTGGGGTTTGCATTGGGGCTTGTTGAGAAGTGGGGTTTGCCTTGGGGTTTGTTGAGAAGTGGGATGACAATTGAGTCAACACAGAGTCATACCGCAAAAGGGAGGTCAAAGGGCGGGTCAAAAGACAGACAGATACTTTGCAAGTCGGCATGCATGACCCCCACCCACACACCAATGGTCCCTCAAACACCTCCGCGGCACAGCTAGAAGGACAGCCCAACATCAGCCTACGCCACTATTTCTCACCCTTGTGCTTATTGAAGACGACGATAAAGAGGATGCTGCAGCAGATGACGATGGTGCTGCAGCAGATGACGATGGTGCTGCAGCCGCCCCTCCTGTCCCTTCCCTCCCCCCTTCTCGTTTGTCTGGTGCCTCTAGCAGCGAAGCAGCCAGCCCACTGGCCCCACCCACCCAGGCACTCCCCACACCACCACCACTACTACTGCTGCTGCTGCTGTTCCCAAGGCCAAAGCGTGAGCCACCCACACTAGCAGCAGCCGCAGTGGCAGGTGGAGCAGAGGAGAGGTGGGCGGGCAGGAGGCGAGTGGAGGAGGCGCCACAGACGGGGCACTCGCGGGCTGGTGGGAAGAAGAAGCTCTCTCTGTGCCGGCGCTCCAAGCAGGACTGGTGAAACCCATGCCCACACAGAAACGCCTCCACTGGTGCTGTTTCCGTTGCTGCTGCTGCTGCTGCTGCGGCGGCTGCTGCTAGTGCTGCTGCTGCTGCTGCAGCGGCTGGTGGTAGAGGCTGGTTGCCCTTGCGGCCAGCATCAGTGTTGGTGCTGGCTCGGGTCAACGGAGCGTACAGAGGACCGGCGCAGAGGCGGCAGGTCCGAGAGGAGGGTCCGATGGGGTGTTGAACGAGCGAGAGCAGGGAGGAGCAGCGGGAGTAGGAATCAGCGTTAGCAGACCGGGCAGCAGCAGCCAGCAGCTGCTGGTCCGACCCTGCTCGCCCTAGTAGCTTCAACAGCCCGCCCACCACATCCCCTGCTGCCCTCCCACTCTCCCACCCCCGCACTCTACTACCCACTCTCGTAACCCCTTTGGTCAGTGCTAGTCCTGTGCCCCCTGCCTTCATGTGATCCATCTTCCCCCTCTCGCCTCCCCCGTCAACGAGCCAGCCCGCAATGACAGGGAGAGGAACCATCCCTGCCATCTCTGCTACAGTGGCCGTGGCACAGCACTGTAGCAGGAAACGGACGGAAAATAGGATCAGATCACAAGCTTGCAGGCGGCTGTCCTGTTGCTGTTGCCACCGATGCTGCTGCTGCTGTTGTTGCTGTCGGTGTTCCTGTTCCTGTTGCTGCTGCTGCTGCTGCTGCACTTGCTGCTGCTGTTGCTGCTGTTGGTGTTGCTGCTGTTGGTGTTGCTGCTGCTCCCGAAGCAGCATGAGCACATGAGAGCAAGAGGCAAAGAGAGGCGGTGGGGGAGGAGGGAAGACGGACGACGGCAGCGACGGTGCTGGAAACGAGCTGAGCACAGACGGAGGAACCCCCAGCTGACCGTTTTCACCTGGAGAATCACCTGCTGGGGACTGCACCCTGTCTCTGCCTGCCCCTGCTGCTGCCCCTGCTGCTGCCCCTGCTGCCCCTGTGACTGTAAGGAGGAGTGAGTAGAGCGAGTGCCAGCGGTTGGGGGGGGTGTGTGATGGGGAGGGGTGTGCTGGTGGGACGGTGGGTGGGGCGGATGGGATGGGGAGGGCCCTGAGGGGGAGGAGGAAACTGAGGGGGAGCAGTAGTGAGTGGGGGAAGAGATGGGAAGAGATGGGAAGAGATGGGAAGAGATGGGAAGAGATGGGGCGAGAAGCATGTGGATGAAGCAGAGAAAGTGGGGGGTGGGGGGGGGGGGGGGGGGAGAAGGGGGCAAGAGAAAGGGCGAAGGTTCAAGTGAACAAAATGGGCGAGCGAAAAAAGGGAACACAATGCATGACAGCAGGCAGCACAATGCATGACAGCAGGCAACACAATGCATGACAGCAGGCAGCAGAGGGCAGCTTGGCGTGCACGTTCCCAGCCCGTCCCATATGCCAGTGTGTCATGGATGGTTTTTGAGGCGCCTCAAAAACCCAGCCCGTCCCATTTGCCAGTGTGTCATGGATGGATGGATGGATGGATGGATGGATGGATGGATGGATGGATGGATGGATGGATGGATGGATGGATGGATGGATGGGCAGTTGCCCGATACTACTACCTCGTAGTATCATCGTATCATCCATTCCTGTTGTCATCCCCCCCTAGAGTCACATTACCCCATGCTCTCTGCTAGTGCACACTGCTCCCTTCCACCATCCACCCTCCCTCCCATTTGTCAACACCCACTAGAGCCTGTCAGTCACAAGCTGCTAGCGTCGCCATGCAACGCACTCTACCAAAATGGTTAACCCTGCTAGCGTCGCCATGCAACAATAACGCCACCACGCCCCCATCCTTCACATGCCCATCTCTCACGCCCACCAATCCAAGAGTGTCCGCCACATGGCCTGGCACCGGCAGTGAGGAAGCCTGCCCTCACTGCGACCACAGAGTGCCACTGGTGGCGCCATCTCCAGCCATCACTGGTATCACCATGCGTTACTGTCACTCCCGACCGTCACTCTCCCACCTCTATCACACACCCACCAGTCCAAGGGAGTCCGCCACAAGTCCCGGCACTGCCAGAGGGGCAGCCTGCCCGTGCTTCGAACGCAAAGACCTGCCATCGTCATCATCATCATACGATAGTAAGACCAGCACGCCCCCTCCTCCCACACTCCCACGTCTCACACCCACCAGTCCAAGAGAGCGCGCCACATGGCCCGGCACTGCCACTGAGGCAGCCTGCCCGTGCTTCGGACGCAGAGGGCCACCGCCTCTTGCTGTATGGCTAGCAACACTCGCACCTACGCAGCAGAGAGAGGGGGGGGGGGGGAGGTGATAAAGCAGGCAGTGGAAGTGCTGTGAGAGCAGAGGGCCACAGCCTCTTGCTGTATGGCCAGCAGCACTCGCACCTAAGCGAGGTGTGAGAAAGAGGGGGGGAGGTGATGATAAGGCAGGCATTGGAAATGCTTTCAGCACACAAAGTTACCGCAAAGGAGAGAGAGAGGCCAGAGGAGGAGAACAATGACGACATGAGAGAGGATGGAAAATGACGACATGAGAGAGGATGGAAAATGACGACATGAGAGGCAGTGGATGAAACATCATCTCACCTCCTCCCTTTGCAGCACTCGTGCCATCAGCCTGCCGACCCTCTTACTCTTCATCCTCTCCTGCCTCCGCTCCCCCGTCTGCCCTGTCTGCTCCGCCTGCCCCCTCTGCCTCAGTACCCTCATCAGCATCCCAGCGACCCCCCTATCCAGGGCTCGCAGGCAGCAGTGCATTTCCACCAGCAGCAGCGCCAGAGCCTCATAGACCAGGCCCATTCGCTCTAGTAGCACACGCGCTGCAGCGCTGATGTGGCAGTTCAGGATTGGCGCAGCCGCGCCCGCCTGCTGACGTGGCACTTGCTGATGTGACGGCGCGGCAAGCGCCGGGGAGATGTGGGCAAGGCAGACACGGAGGCAGCGGTCGAGGCGACAGGTGGCGAGCGGTGATTGGAGGAAGGGGAGCAGGGACGGCGGATCGAAGATGCAGAGCAGCTCTACAAAGAGCTCGACCACCCGTGGTGACACCGCCCCTGCTATCTGCCTCCTCTGCTCCTCCCACTCATCTGTCCTCAAACCCTCAGCCTCTAAGTTCTCCTCTGCCCTTCCTTGTGCTGCTGCTGCTGCTGCTGGTGCTGCTGCTGCTGGTGCTGGTGCTGCTGCTGGTGCTGGTGGTGGTGGTGGCAGCAGAAGAGCATGGGAGAAGAGTGACCGCAGCAAAGCAAACTGCAGCTGTGGCCGGCCGGCCAGATCAGCACTGACAATCAGCTCTAGATCCAGCCTCAGCAGCCCCAGCGCCACAAACAGACAAGCATCGCCGTCCAGCCGCACCAGCTGTGCCAGGTGGCGCCTGACGGCCAATCGGAGCGCAGCGCCCTCCTCCCCTCCCAACCCATGTTTGCGCGTGAGCGAAAGCGCTGTTTTGCTTATGAGGCGGAAGGGCATGCCGGGGCGGTGGGGGTCCGTGAGGAGCGAGGAGAGCGCCTGGTGGAAGCCAGTCATGCCGTGGGTGCGCATGAAGAGACGCGCACACACCTGGTGGGGGGGGAGGCAAGGGATGAAGTGAGGCCGGGGGGATAGGAGGAGGAGAGTTCAAGGCGGATACAGGAAGTGAGGAGGGCGCCTGGTGGAAGTCAGTCATGCCGTGGGTGCGAATGACGAGACGCGCACACACCTGGGTGGCATGGGAAAAGAGGGAGGAATGGAGAGAGGATAGGATAGTTGACAGGGGCAAAGGGGATTCGGAGGAGAAGGGAGAGGACTTGGTGGAAGCCGGTCTATTTTTGAGGCGCCAAAAAATTACAAGCCTAAAAAGCAGACGCCTAAAAAATAGAAGCCGGTCATGCTGTGGGTATGGAGGGATACGAATGAAGAGACGTGCACACATCTGGGTGGCGCAGAAGAATGCAAGGGGGGGGGGTTAGGAGGAGAGTTAGAGGCGAATCCATGTGCTTACTTCTTAAGACCAGGCCTTCATGCTCTGAAGGCCACTTCAGCTGAGTCTGGCAGAGCAATGACCAACCTCTCTCTCACCTCCTCTCTCTCACCTCTCCTCTCTCACCTCCTCTCTCCACCTCCTCTCTCTCACCTGCTCTCTCTCACCTGCTCTCACTCACCTGCTCTCTCTCACCTCCTCTCTCTCACCTCCTCTCTCTCACCTCCTCTCTCTCACCTCCTCTCTCCACCTCCTCTCTCCACCTGCTCTCTCTCACCTGCTCTCTCTCACCTGCTCTCTCTCACCTCCTCTCTCTCACCTCCTCTCTCTCACCTCCTCTCTCCACCTGCTCTCTCTCACCTCCTCGCTCTCACCTCCTCTCTCCATTTCCTCTCTCTCACCTCCTCTTTCTCACCTCCTCTTTCACCCACTCTCTCTCGCCTCCTCCAAGCGGTCCTTGTATTAATGGGCAGAAGCAGAAGTACAGCAAGGCAGGTATCGCAGGGCGAGATGCAAACAGGACAAGCAGCTCCGTAGGCCCAGGCGGAAGGCCAGGGCCGTGGAGAACTGCCCTGGCGAGAACATGAGGTCCGGGGACAAGGGGATGGCGTGCAGCCAATCGCCAGCACCTGCCCCCCGCAGGCTGAGAAGGCGGAGGGGGTGGCCCATCTCTGGGGAGGAGACGACGTGCTGGGAATCCGAGAGGAGGTCCTCCGCCCGGGCAGCGTTCACCTCCATGGAGAGACGCTGCAAATGGGCCGAGGTCCGCTCTGTGCGCTCCTCGCTGAGGAGGAGCCGGTCACTGTCCAGCAGCCGCGCCTCCAAGTCACGGAGCGTATCAGTGATGGGGGAGGCGGAGGTTGGAGGAGGGCGGCTACCTGGGCGAGTGGTGTGGAGGGCGGGAGTTCCAGGGACTGGAGGAGGTGGCCGGCCTCCGTGGTGGATGCGAGGAAGGCGGGGCCAGCCTCAAAGTGGGGTCAGTCAGGCCTAGACCTCCCAGGGCCACCGGTAGGGTAGCTTGGTGCCAAAGGAGGTCTTACTCGACAGCCCTCCGGGGGTGGTGAAGCTGGCTGGCCGCGAGGGCGGTGAGCAGGAGGGACTCACTCCAGCTCCTCCATTCTCCATGTGGAAGGACGTCGGCACGCGTGGTGCGGAGGAGAAAGCCCACTCGGCGGTTGACGCAGCGGGCGATTAGGAGGAGGGCGTGCTGAGGGTGGATGGAGGTGAGTGGGCCGAGTGGGAGGGCGGAGTCGGTGAGGACGCTGCGGATGTGGTCCGCGCAGAAGTTCTCAGACCCAATGGGGCTGCCAAGGACACGGACTCCGTCCGTGCTCAAGGGCAGCCCTGCAGGGAGCACCTCCGGGTCGATGGGGCTTGGGGACCACGCAGCGGACTTGGTGAGGTTGCACCCCAGGCCGCACTGCGCGAGCAGTGAAGCCAGGCACGTGAAGGCTGCTACGGCCTCCAACGGTGGCCCAACCAGGGTGGCATCGTCAGCATAGGCCAAGAGAGCCACGCCTGGGAAATAGCAGCGGGCCAAGGGGATCTCCCTGGCGCACGCCGCGGCTGCTAGTGATTGGTTCCGCGTCATACTCGTCAGCCAGTGTGAGCGCGGTGGGCATGCCGTAGAGCGATCGAACGAACGGCAGGAGTGGGGCGAGGGTGGAGAAGCGGAGAGCTTCGAAGAACGCCTTTATTAATTATTAATTTTAAATAAGATTTTTTTATTTATTTATTTCCCCACCCATGGCCGAAAGCGCAGCTTTTGCCGTGATGCGTAGAAGAGCCTCCCCGGTTGCAATTGGGGAATTGTGAGGTTGGTTGGGGGAGTGTAGCTCGCGACCCAATCAGGGAGGTCTTCCGCTGCAGGCAGATGCTTGTCACGAAGAGCTGCGATGCTGCTTGCTAACGGGGGAGCCAGTTGCGAGGGCTGTAGTGCACCCAAGGCCTTCGCCAGATTCGCTTTTCGCACTTGTCCCTCCACTCTGGACTTGATGCCAGCTGGGTCATCGCGGTGGCGTGCAGGCTGGGGTAGGTTCCGTGACTGTATGCATTCATCGTATAGCCGAGCCCAGTCACCGCAGCAAAATGCGTGCATCTTCGCCCGTAGACCCTTCCACCTAGACCCAGCCCGCCGTCCCATTCGCAGCGTAAGTCGTGGCAGGAGGAGTAGGACGCGCCAGCCACCAAGGCACTTGGGATCCTTCTTGAGGCGGAGCAGGGCCACCAGGAGACATGTGGCAACATCGGGAGGTAGCTTCCGAACGATTGGTGGCTGCTTAGATGAGGTGAGGAGTTGGAGGTCCCACTGCTTGGCGATCTCAAAGAGATCGTCCCTGGCTGCGAGGGCAGTCGGGGATACGGCTGCATCCGGCGGGAGATCTGCTCTGGCTTGGCGACGGCGGTAAGGTGGTTGCCCACCCGTTCTCCTCGGACGATCCCTCCCCTCCACTTCTGCCTCAGCATCGGACGAGGACACGCTGGAGGCAGGCTCCCCTGATGGGCTATAATTGCCGTCACTTCCCCTCTCTTCCGCAGAACCATCCGCCCCTTCCCCCTCAGGTAGGCTTGAGCATTAACCCGACCCGACCCGACTTTACCTAACCCGAGGTCAGGTTCGGGTCAGGTCGGGTCGATCTTAGGATTTTGCCGACCCGACGTGACCATAGCTGGTCGGGTCATCTCCTACCCGCGGTCGGGTTGGGTTGATGCGACCCGACCCGACTTGACCTGACCTAACTAGCAGCTATTTGTTTCCTAGAGGGGAACAGCTGGATTTCGTAATTTCAAGATCCAGTGAGTCCTCCTCGTGACTCCTAGCCCACCCACCTCATCCCCCCGCAACCTCGACATGCGAATGTGATTTGGGTGTTGGCGAAGTATTGGTTAGGTTGGAGGATGTTGACGAAAACCAGTGACGGAATGAATGGGTGTTGGCGACTTTTTGGTTGGTCTGGGGGTGTGGCGAAAGATTGGTTGGCTTGGGGGTGTTGGCGAGATTTTGGTTTGGTTGCGGGTGTTGGCGAAAATTCGGGTGGGTTGGGCGTAGGGTTGAGCAAACTACCCGCCCGGGTCGGGTACCCGGTACCCGGACCCGCTTTTAGGGTGGGTCGAGTATCGGAAATCCTGAATCTTACCCGGCGGGTCGGGTCCGGGTTACCCGGGGCGGGTATCAATACCCGCTACCCGAAATGCTACCCGACGCGTCGGGTAGCGGGTACCCGACCCGAAATCGGGTAGCGGTCTACCCGACGGAACCAGCGAGACATTAATCGTGCTGGTAGAGAAATTTCATCAAATTTCTAGGTTACGTGAGCTGCTAGGTCACTTAGAGCATTCTAGATTGGCAGGGGTTGGGTTTCGTAGATACAGATGCATTCAAAGTGGTTGAATTGGGGGGAATTGGTTGGAAGTCAAACCAATCGAATTTCCCCAATCGAATTTGCAACCCAACCTGAATCCAGCCAACCGCACAGCACCACATTGGTTGGAGTTCCAACAAATTGACTCTGGGGGTCAAAAAATCAAACCCCCAGAAACCGCACACAACCCCATTCCAACTAGAAAACCCAACCAACTCCCCACTCAGGCCCCACTCACGACCCACTCACCACACCAGAACTGTTAAAGATTTGGCGCACCTCATACTCCCTCCCGCAGCTCACGTTTTTTGAAGCACCATCTAGGTCGTAGGCTTAGTAGCCCAACAGGGTAGAAAAACGCGGGTAATACTACCCGCTTTTCAAGGAAACCGGGTCGGGTATATCCGGACCCGCCAGGCGGGTATTAAATTACCCGCCCCCAAATCCCGGGTCCGGGTATTGGTCCTGGGCATGTTACCCGACCCGTACCCGACCCAAAAATACCCGACCTGAAGTCGGGTATAGCAAAACCGGGTCGGGTCGGGTAAATACCCGGTTTTGCTCATGCCTAGTTGGGCGTGTTGGCGAAAATTGGTTGGGTTGGATTTGGCGAAAAGTTGGTTTGGTTTGGCGTGTTGGCGAAAAGTTGGTTGGGTTGGTGGTGGTGTCCACGAGCTTGTTTGTTGAGTTGGTTGTTGATTGAGTCGATCCAAAAGAAATCGATCTGGATTTGTTTAGACCCTAAACTGTAACAATAAGCATGGTGGGGAGTAGATTAGTGGTAGGAATGAGCTGGATGCAGGGTAAAAATGGGAGGTAGCCTAAGTAGGATCTGGAAAATGGCCCACCTGGTCGAAAATTCGACCAAACCGTCAGACTTTCGAGATCTGCGCAACTCAGATCGCGCAGATTGCATCGGGTCGTGGCGCGGCCCGACCTCGGGTCGGGTTGGGTCGGGTCAACCCGACATGTCGGGTTCACCCGAACCCGTCCATGTCGGGTTCGGGTTGACCCGACCCGCGGGTACAAATCAAACCCGACGGGTCGGGTTCTTCCGACGGGAAACCTGACCCGACCCGTAAAAAAGTCGGGTTCGAGTCGGGTTACCCGACCCCACCTGACCCGTTGCTCAAGCCTACCCTCAGGTCTCAACCTTACTCGTGCGCGGGTCAGGAACTGGCGCGTGACCCTCAGCGCGGGCTCTCCAATCCAGACCGGGCTGATCACCCCCCCCCCCCACGTCCCCCCCCCCTTGAACCCCGTCCCCTTCCGCGGGCACGGCCCCTCCCTCGCGCGCTGCCACGTCTGCTCCTCTGCGTGCGCTCTACCGTGTCCGCTGGGATCCCGGCGTAACGTGGCGTCGCAGGTTCTGGTTCCGCCTCCGCCAACACCAACGCAGCGATCTCGGCGGGAGCAGGCGAGTGTCGCGGTGGCTCCTGTCCAGCCGGCTGCTCCGCAGCAGCGCGCCGGTCGCCGCTACCGGTCGCGTCGTCCGTGATGAGCGGCTGGCCCAGGTCGGCAGCTCGCCCGAGCGCGCACAGCAGCACGCCATCCCTTGCGGGAAACGCGTCCCCCCACGCTCCCCCCAAGTCCTCCGACGACACCTCAGAGCCCGCCGCCCCCAGCTGCCGCGCTGGAGACCCAGGAGCTGCCGTGCCCGTGCTCCACGGGCCTCTTTGGCCCGCCGAACCCCCGCGCTCACTGCCGCCTGACTCGCACCATTCTCGTCCCCCATCCATGCCCCTTGGCGGAGACGCCCATGGCGGCGGAGACGCCCATGGCGGCGTCAGGTCCCAGTCCGACCCCCATGACGCCAGCTGCGGGTCCGGTGGCGTCAGCTCCCCCCAACCACTGGGGGATGCAGTACTCCCCCCTGCCGACGAGCCATCCGCCTCCCCTCATGCCGCCCACTCTGAGTCACTTTGCATCGCCGTCCGCTCCCCCCCTGTCGAGCCCGACCCCGCCTCCCGCGGTTCCTCCCGGCAGTCAAAGAGCCTGGTCCACGGGATCCGTCTGTGCGAGGTGCTCGCTCCGGCGATCGCCTTGTGCTGACGTACACGTCTGCTTTTGAGTCGACTCAAAAGTCGCTCCGGCGATCGCCTTGCGCTGAGGTACACGTCTGCTGCAATGCGGGTGTCTCCGCTGCCTGCCGGCCGTGTGGTGCTGACCCCTCCCCAGTTGAAGAAAGTGGTGGAGGCAGCAGCGTGGCTGCATTGAGAGCAGGGGTGCTCTGGTGGCTGCCAGAGGCCGAACCACCCACCAACCGACCCCTTGACGTCGGGGGTGTGCGCTCTGTGGGCGGCCGTAGATGGCGGGGAGGCGATGGTGATCCAGGAGGCCGCCAATGCACTCCTCCAGACCCTCGCGGAGGAGGTACACGGTGCAGAGTGACCGCCCGTGTGCGCAGGACGGATGGCGACCGCACTCTTGCCAACGCCTCGCCGGCCGCCTCTTGATCCGCCATACTGCCTAGGCGCTTGGGGTGTTGAGCGCCGCACAGGCTCGCTTGCCGTGTTTTGTTGTACTTGCCATATTGAAGCGATTCCCCATGTTGATCGAGTTGTGTGGCGTCGGATCCCGCCCCCTAACCCGCGGCCGAAGGCCGCCGGCGCGAGCCGCTTGTGTAGATGAGAAGAAAGGAAAACAGAGATGGAAGAATGAACTAAGGGGAGGAGCAAGGAAGGCTAAGGCTATATACCCCTTGGTTGCTCTCCCCATACCCGCTCTCCCTATACCCGCTTGTCTCTATCTCACCTCCTCTCTCTCACCTCCTCTCGCTCGCCTCCTCCCTCATTTTCACCTGATGGAAGGCGGCTTGTAGGGCCGGAGGGAGGAGAGCGTTGAAATGCGCACCTGAAGAGTCCGGCACAGCGATGACCAGCCGCTCCATCACCTCCTCCTCCCCACTACCTCCTCCCTCCTTCCCACCTGCTGATGACCGGCTGAGCAACCCACCTGGTGGAAGGCAGCTTGCAGGGCCAGCAGCAGGAGAGCGTTGAAATCCACCCCGGAGGAACCCGGCAGAGCGATGACCAGCCGCTCCATCACCTCCTCCCTCCTGCTCCGCCTCACAGTGGGCGAGAGGGCCGAGAGCGAGGGGCAAGAGGAGGGTGAGGGGGTGGGGGAGGAGGAGGAGGAAGAGTGCTGTTTCTGTACAGGATGGTCGCGCCCTTGGACAGAGCCTAGGAAAGCAGCAGAGTCAAGGGCAGCTGTCCGAGACGTAGCTTTCACGCTTGCGGCAGCAGCAGCAGCAGCAGCAGTGGAGAAAGCACGCTCATCAAAAGTGACAGTACCCGATGTGAGATAAACGAAGATGGCATTCAATGAGAGACGGTCCAGCTGCACTCTCCCCGTTGCTGCTGCCTCTGCTACCAGCTCCAACACCCGCCCTGCTGCATCCCCCATTCCCTCTACTCTCAAGCCTAGTCCCTCTAGTCCTGTGACTACGTCTGAGCCTGGCTTCGACCCCAAAATGGCGCCATCGTTTGATCCCTTAATGGAGTCCTCGTTACTCCTTATTGCGTCTGCAGCTTCGCACCAGGAGCGCACTATTTCTAGCAGAGTATAAACAAGTCTGCCACCAGCTGCAGGATCTACAGTACTGTCCTCGTTATAAGCTGTGCCACTGTAATTCGCCGGCATTGGATCCGTGGTCGTCTTGGGCTGCTCTGTACTCGTTTCTGGCTGATCCAGTATGCACAAACAGCGGAAAATCACGCGCAGTACGGAAAGAGTGGCGCGGGGATCAAAGGATAGCAGGCGGGCGAGGGGGGAGCAGAGGAGGGCGTGGGAGGAAGGGGAGAGCGAGGAGGGGCGAGGAGAAGAAGAGGAGTGGGATGAAGGGTTCAGCTTGACTGTGTGAGAGGAGAGGGGTGGATGATAGGGCTTGAGGAGGAAGTTGAGGAGGTCGGCTTGAGCTGACGGCAGGAGAGAAGGGGGGATGGCGCCGCCGCCTGGAAGGATGAGCAAAGGGAGGGGATGAGATGGTATATGGGATATGAGAGTGAGGAGAGTAAGCAAACCAGTGCGGCAGATGATAAGATCACCAGGATGAGAGTTGAGTAGTACCTACATGGGTCCTATTCTCGAGAGGGTGTTTTACCAGGATTCTAAAAAACAGCCTACGAGATGATGAGAGTGGTGTAGGCTTGAGCAAGGGGTCGGGTCGGGTTGGGTAACCCGACCCGAACCCGACTTTTTGACGGGTCGGGTCGACCCGACCCTCGGGTACCCGACCCGACCCGACCCGACCCGACCCGACCGACAAAACCCGACCCATCGGGTCAGCTTATTACCCGTCCCTGCCCCTATGTCAACCCGACCCGACCCGACCCGAAATCGGGTCAGGTAGTACCCGACCTATTAAACCCGGGTCAGGTTGGCATTTCCTGAACTCCGACCCGACTTGACCCGACCCGACCCGACCCGACCCCGACATCGGGTAGGGCAAAGTCGGGTCGGGTCGGGTCGGGTCGGGTTCATGCTCAAGCCTAGAGTGGTGGTACCTGGAAGCTGGGACCTATTCTCGAGACGACTGGAAGATCGCCTGGCCTCTGGCGAGACAAACGGGAGGAATCCAAACCCAGAAACCCCAAGAGCTTACCTGGCGGGAAGTTACGGCCGGTGAAAGTGAGCTTGAGGAAGAGAAGCAGGCGATAGCTGGACGGGGGGAGGGGGAATGCGGGGGAAGAGTGGGAAAGAGGGGGAGAGGGAAAAAGGAAATATCAAAGGAGAGCTGAGGAAGAGAAGCGGGCGATAGCTGGACCGGGAGAGGGGGGAATCTGGGGAGGGGGGGATTGGGAAGGCGGGGGAGAGGGAAGGGGGGGAAGAGTTGGAAGAGGGGGCAGAGGACCCGGGGGGGAAGAGGACAAAGGGCGATGGAGGACAAAGGGTGATGGAGGACAAAGGGCGATGGAGGACAAAGGGCGATGGAGGACAAAGGGTGATGGAGGACAAAGGGTGATGGAGGACAAAGGGCGATGGAGGACAAAGGGTGATGGAGGACAAAGGGTGATGGAGGATCGAGTCAGAAAATATGAAAGAAGAGTTGAGGGGGGTGTATAGGCAGCTGAGGAAGAGAGGCAGACGATAGCTGGAGAGGAGAGGTGAGAGGCTCGGGACAGAAAGGGACAGAAAGGGACAGAAAGGGACCAGGAAGTGGGAGCAGTGAAAGCAGTGGGCGCAGCAAGAGCAGTGAGAGCAGCGAGATTAGCAACGGGAAAAGGCCACCCCAAGTTCACTCAGAAGAATCAACTAACCCGCACTGCCGGCCCTCCTCCCTCTCCTTCTCCCTCTCCTTCGTCCTCTTCTTCCCTCCCTTGAGCATCCCCGCCCCTGGCCCCCCTCCTTCCTCCACGGTAGCAAGGGAGGAAAGGAGAGTTGCCAGCAGCTGCTGCGCTGGAGAGACGAAATCCGCGAGGGCGCGGGTGAAGAGGTAGATGAGGGCTGTGTGCAGGTTGTGGTGGCGGCACAGCCGCACCACCTGAGATGGATGGGAATAGGAGAGGGATTAGGGATGAGCGGAAAGAAAAGCCGAGGGAACCGAATGGTAAGCACACGAGAGTAGGGATAGATGAGTGCTGTGTGCAGGTTGTGGTGGCGGCACAGCCGCACCACCTGAGAAGGAGGGGCAGAAGAGTATGCGATACATTATGTGCGGCTGCACCGCACCGCAGTCAGCACATAATGAGGGGATGGCGAAGAGGTGAAGAGGTGAAGAGGTGAAGAGGTGAAGAGGTGAAGAGGTGAAGAGGTGAAGAGGTGAAGAGGTGAAGAGGTGAAGAGGTGAAGAGGTGAAGAGGTGAAGAGGTGAAGAGGTGAAGAGGTGAAGAGGTGAAGAGGTGAAGAGGTGAAGAGGTGAAGAGGTGAAGAGGTGAAGAGGTAGACAATGAGGGCTCAGTGCAGACTGTACTGGTGGTAAGGGCAATGCCTATGTGCACCACTGGAGCAAGTAAGGAATCAGGTAGATGTTAAAAATCGTCAGCGCACCTGGTTGATGTCAAGCGAAGCAATGTCCATATGCAGCACGCATTGCTGCACTCGCGACAGCCACCCCCGCTCACTGTAATGCTCCACTAGTGCTTGCATCACCTGGTAAGAAAAGGGGGGGAGAAGCACACAAAGGATCTAACAACGTAGGTTTGCCATCAACACAGGTCTATCTAGCCAGCCGTTCAGCAGGTGGGAGGGTGTTGAGGTGGCCTATCTGTCTGGCCAGGCCTCAGTTAAAGGTAGAAGTGTTAGATTATCCTTCCCTCATTCTATTAGCCTACATCATTTCATTGTACTAAGTATTTATAAGCACCCCACTAGGGTGTATAACCCCAGTTGGGGGTTGGGTTCCCGACTTTGTTGGGTCGCCAAATTGGTTGGGCTCCTAAGTATTGGGACCCCCAATAATCCCAACCCGGATTATTGAGACCCTCCAAGAATCCTGGCTAGGATTATTGGACCCCCCATTGTTTCGGCCAACCCAACTTATTGGGGTGGCCAATAATCTTGGCCACCTCCCAACCAGCCCCCCCCTCCTACTCCTCACCTTTGTATACCCCCTCAGTTTCTAATCAGATCATCGCTTCAGTTTCGCACACGACGAACTGGTGGTGGGAAAGGGCTGCTGGGAATATCTAGTGGGAATATCTAGTGGGAACATCTAGTGGGAACATCTAGTGGGAACATCTAGTGGGAACATCTAGTGGGAACATCTAGGGGGAATATCTAGAGGGAATATCTAGTGGGAATATCTAGTGGGAACATCTAGTGGGAATATCTAGTGGGAACATCTAGTGGGAATATCTAGTGGGAGCATCTAGTGGGAACATCTAGTGGGAATATCTAGGGGGAATATCTAGTGGGAATATCTAGTGGGAACATCTAGTGGGAATATCTAGGGGGAATATCTAGTGGGAATATCTAGTGGGAATATCTAGTGGGAATATCTAGTGGGAACATCTAGTGGGAATATCTAGTGGGAATATCTAGTGGGAACATCTAGTGGGAACATCTAGCAGGAACATCTAGTGGGAATATCTAGTGGGAATATCTAGTGGGAACATCTAGTGGGAATATCTAGTGGGAATATCTAGCGGGAACATCTAGTGGGAATATCTAGTGGGAATATCTAGTGGGAATATCTAGTGGGAACATCTAGTGGGAATATCTAGTGGGAGCATCTAGTGGGAACATCTAGTGGGAATATCTAGTGGGAACATCTAGTGGGAATATCTAGTGGGAGCATCTAGTGGGAACATCTAGTGGGAATATCTAGGGGGAATATCTAGTGGGAACATCTAGTGGGAATATCTAGGGGGAATATCTAGTGGGAATATCTAGTGGGAACATCTAGTGGGAACATCTAGTGGGAATATCTAGGGGGAATATCTAGTGGGAACATCTAGTGGGAATATCTAGTGGGAATATCTAGTGGGAACATCTAGTGGGAATATCTAGTGGGAGCATCTAGTGGGAACATCTAGTGGGAATATCTAGGGGGAATATCTAGTGGGAATATCTAGTGGGAACATCTAGTGGGAATATCTAGGGGGAATATCTAGTGGGAATATCTAGTGGGAACATCTAGTGGGAACATCTAGTGGGAACATCTAGTGGGAATATCTAGGGGGAATATCTAGTGGGAACATCTAGTGGGAATATCTAGTGGGAACATCTAGTGGGAATATCTAGTGGGAATATCTAGTGGGAATATCTAGTGGGAACATCTAGTGGGAACATCTATTGGGAACATCTAGTGGGAACATCTAGTGGGAACATCTAGTGGGAACATCTAGTGGGAATATCTAGTGGGAATATCTAGTGGGAATATCTAGTGGGAATATCTAGTGGGAATATCTAGTGGGAATATCTAGTGGGAATATCTAGTGGGAATATCTAGTGGGAATATCTAGTGGGAATATCTAGTGGGAATATCTAGTGGGAATATCTAGTGGGAATATCTAGTGGGAATATCTAGTGGGAATATCTAGTGGGAATATCTAGTGGGAATATCTAGTCAGGTGTTTCCCCGGTGGGAAAGGGCTGCTGGGGTGGCCTATCTATGGGGCAAAGCCTCATCTCTAAGTGTAGGAGTATCTAGCCAGGTGTTACCTCGGGTGGGAGGGTGCTGAGGTGGTCTGTGAGGATGTAGGGCTCCAGAAGCTCGAGGAATATTCCTGCAGGGGGGGAAGGAGGCGGCAGATGAAAGGAAAGAGGAAAGAGAGAAAAACAAGGTGAGGTTGCAGTGCAGTGCAGTCGGTATTTTCAGGGGAATTGTTAAGGTGGCGCGAGGACCATGTTAAGGATGATGCAGGGGCCCAGAAGCTCGAGGAATATTCCTGCAGGGACGAGAGAAGAGGAAGGATTAGAGAGAACAAGGGGTGGAGGTTGCACGGTGTGTAATGAGTCTATTTTTGAGTCGATTCAAAAATAGACTCATTACACAAGGGGTGGGTGGAGGTTGCAGGGCAGCTTTGATGGTAAATGGGGAGAGTTTCCGAGGTGGTCTGTGAGGATGCGGGGCTCCGAGTCCAGAAGCTCGAGGAATATTGCTGCAGTGACAAGGGGAGAAAGGGGATGGAGGAGTGGGGGGATGAGAGAAAAGGGGCGAAGAGGCTGCAGTGCAGGGTGAACAGTAAATGTGTGGGTGAACAGTAAATGTATGGGTGAACAGTATATGTGTGGGTGAACAGTATATGTGTGGGTGAACAGTAAATGTGTGGGTGAGCAGTAAATGTGAGGATGAACAGTATATGTGTGAGTCGACTCAAAAGCAAACACCGCCCCACACAGCAGCAGCAGCTGGTGCGCTCTGACTCCCCCTCATGCACAAACTCTACCCACATTCCATGGTCCCCACACACCTGCCGCACACACTCAAACACCCCCTCTCACGTCGCAGCCCTCTCTCTGCAAACTTGTCAAACACCTTCGTGAACAGCAGCGGCACGGCAGCTGGTTCACTCACATGCGGAACCCATGATTCTGCACGGTGTTTTTGAGAATTCTCAAAACGAACCCTGTCAACACCCCGCTCGCCCACAAACTTTCCACCCCCCTCCCCTCCCACCCGCCCTTCCCCTCTATAACCCCTCTCACCTCGCTGCCCTCGCTCTGTGAACTTGTCGAACACCGCACCAAACAGCAGCGGCAGCTGGTTCACTCGAATGCAGAACTCAATCGACACCCCGCCCACCCGCACATACTCCTCCCTCTGCTCCCCGGCCATTGCCGCTGCTGCTGCTCTTGCCACTGCTGCTGCTGCTGCTGCTGCTGCTGCTGCTGCTGCTGCTGCTGCTGCTGCTGCTGCTGCTGCTGCAGAGTTGGGAATCGCAGCAGCCGAGGAGCTCAGGTGGGTCCCCGAGGAGCTTGGGTGGTGGCGGGGTGACAGTTCCGGGCCGGCACTTACAGGGCTTAGTGCCACAGGGCTGAGAGCCACCGGACTAAGTACTGCTGGGCTAAGCGTTTTCGGGCTAAGCGCTGCAGCGCTCTGCTGTAAGTACGAGAAAACTTGCTCGATGTAGGCTAGAAGGAGTTCCCCCATCTCTGCTGCTAGCTCTGCAGGGTCACATGGTAACCCTGTTACGCCCACCGCTCTCCCTTGGTATATCTCCATTGCAGTGTGCAGTGCATTCATCCAGTCGCCGGCCGCTTCCAGAGATTTGATTCTCTCCTTCCACGACAGAAGGTGTGCCCGCACCACCATGCCGCCCCCTTGCAAGAGGACAAACGCCGCCGCCCCGCTGCTCCAGGCGGCGACACTGTTCTGGAACGAGGGGATCGGGCAACCGCTACGAGACAAAAACGGCTGGAAGACCAGGCCGAAACGGCCGTGGCCGGAAGTACTGTAGCTACTGTAGCTGGGAGCATTTGTATAGTCTGAGGCTGAGTCGTAGTGTAGCAAGGGCTGGCGCTTGATTGGCTGGCCGCCCAGTGAGAAAAGACAAAAGTGCTCCGAGGCTGTGAGGATGAGGAGAACCTGATGTGGGGAGATGGGAAGAGGGTTATTTTTTTTTTTTTAAGGGTGTTATTGAGAGTTCTAAAAAACACACTGCAAAACTGAGGCTGTGAGGATGAGGAGAACCTGATGTGGGGAGATGGGAAGAGGGAAAAAAAAAAGGGAAAAAAAAGGAAAAAAAAAGGGGGGAAATTTTTTTGATGAAAACGGGGGTTAAGGGGAAGTGCTTTAGGGAGGGGAGAGGAATACAAAAGGGCCCTTTGGCCGCCCCCATATGGTTTGCTCCCATGATTCATACCGTGAGGAGTCTATTTTTGAGGCGCCTCAAAAATACGAAAGGGCCCCTTGGCCGCCCCCACATAGTTTCCTCCCATGATTGCTACCGTGCTCCGGTTTGCTTACGCTCTTGCCTTCGTCTGCTCTCACCTGGTGGTCGAGCCACGCAAGGCCAGCACAGTGCAGTGGAGCGCACGTCCCACCGGTTAACGACCTCCAATCCATGGTGCTATGTGATCGCATGGGCCATTCATGCCACTGCATGCCCATTCCCACATCCATGAAAAATTCCATACCTGGTGGGCCAGCCAGCCACGCAAGGCCAGCCACAGTGGGGTGGAGCGCACGTCCCCCAACGGTGAATCACCTCCATGGCGTTCTGACGTCATGCTCACTCAAGCACGCACACCCATGCATGCCCAATCCCACACCTATTCCCATGCTTGCTGTGCTATGCTCACCTGGTGGTCCAGCCATGCAAGGCCAGCAATGGTGGAGTCCACGTCCCAGCGGTGAATGACCTCCATGGCGCATCCCCACATGCTCACCACCAGCATCACAGAGGAGGCCATGCCATGCTAACTGCCCTCACCAGCTGGTCCCTGCCTAATCCCATGCCTGTGCCCATGCCCGTTCCCTTGCCAGCCCGCTCACCTGGTGGTCCAGCCACGCCAATCCAGCCACAGTGGAGTCCACGTCCCAGCAGTGAATGATCTCCATGGATCGCCGCCCCCGCACACTCACCACCAGCACCACCCGCCCTCACTCACTTTTGACTCGAATCAACGGCACCTCACCTATCCCCATGTCTGCGGGGTGCTCACCTGATGATCGAGCCATGCCAATCCAGCCACAGTGGAGTCCACGTCCCAGCGGTGGATGACCTCCATAGATCGTCCCCACACGCTCACCACCAGCACCACCCGCCCCCACCCCAGCGCAAACACCTTCTCCTGCACCCACCGCCCCCCCGCTGCCGCTGCTGCTGGTGCTGCTTTTGATGCTGCAGCGCCTATTCCTCCCTCTGCTCTTCCACTTCCACCACCAGCACTAGCACCACCAGCACCAGCACCAGCACTATCTGAACCATGGCTTTTCTCCCCTACCGCAGCGCCACTACTTCCTGATACCTCACCCATGCTTGCTCTCCCTGCCTCCCTTCTCTCAGCCGGCAACCCATTCTCCCCCCCTCCCCTCCCATGCCTGTTCGTCTCGCCTGCTGCTCCCCCTCCTCCGCTTCTGCTGGTGCTACTCATGCTGCTGCCTCTGCCACGGGTGCTGGCGTTGGCAGAAGAGGCAGGTAGCGACAGGGAGGGGGGAGGAGAGGGGGTTTGTCGAAGGGAGGAGGTGGGGGGAGAGGAGGCGGGGGAGGAAGAGGAGGAGGAGGGGTGTGCAATGCGGGAAGCAGCGTGTTTGTGGAGGGGGGACGGAGGGGGAGGGGCGCGGCGGAAGGAGATGCCCCAGCGCCAGGCAGCATAGGGCAGGGCGGTGCGGTTGGGGTCCAGGGCATAGGGCAGCAGGTCGAGCGTGCACCGGTGGGCGAGCTTCGGGAGGATTTGCACCTGCAGGCATGCAAGGGAGAGAGGGGACGAGCATAGGGACGAGAGGAAGAGGGAAGATTGCAGGTGAGTGAGAGTAGTTAGTTGGTGCCAGACAGCACAGAATAGGGCAGGGCCATGGGAATAGGTCAAGGGCGTATGGCAGCAGGTCGAGTGTACACCGGTGGGCGAGCTTAGGGAGGAGTTGAACCTGCAGGCATGCAAGGAAGAGCGGGGAAAGAGCAGGCGGGAGCGACACGTAAGGAGAAGTGCAGGTGGGTGGAAGCACATAGAGCGTGCCTGCCAGGCAGAGTTCGGGTTTTTAGAATTCTACAATACCTAGGGCAGGTGGGAGCAGATACAGCGTGCCAGGCAGCGTAGGGCAGGGCAATGCAGTGGGGTTCGAGGGTGTAGGGACAGCAGGGGCTTTGCTGACACTAGTTTTGCTTGCACACCTTTCCCTGTCCCTTTCATACAGCATTCTGCACCTCTTACCAGCAGGACGTGCCAACCCCTAACCAGCAGGACGTGCCAACCCCTAACCAGCAGGGCGTGCCAACCCCTAACCAGCAGGGCTTGCCAACCCCTAACCAGCCGGGCGTGCCAACCCCTAACCAGCCGGGTTGTGCCAACCCCTAACCAGCAGGGCGTGCTAACCCCTAACCAGCAGGGCGTGCTAACCCCATACCAGCAGGGCGTGCTGACCCCTTACCAGCAGGGCGTGCTAACCCCTTACCAGCAGGGCGTGCTGACCCCTTACCAGCAGCACCCCTTACCAGCAGGAGCACTTTGTCAGTCACCATCATCACTTCACCAGTTGTCACCTCCTCCGATACCCCCTCCCCCTTCTCCCCTCCTCCCCGTCCTCCTCCCTCTCTTGCTCCTTCTCCCCCCCTCTGCCTCGCCTCTGAAGCCATATCGCCGCCTTTCCCCGGACCTGGAAGTCCACTCTGCTGCGCTGGCCCTGTCGAGCCTGGCTGGTAGGCTTGGGACGCAGGCACGGTGCTGCTGGAGTCAAGCTGGGAAGAGTGGATGGGACCTGGTAACCATGCGGAGAGTAACAGGCAATGACCTCCAATCTGGCCAGGACAGGTAGGGGAGAGTAGGTATGGGAGGAGGATAGGTAAGAGAGGGCACCTATGGGAGGGTAGGTTTGGGAGGGCAGGCACGGGACAGTAGGTATGCGAAGGCAGGTGAAGGGGGAGAGAGAGAGAGAGAGAAAAGGGAAAGAGGAGAGGCACGGAGAGAGAGAGAAGAAAAGGGTACAGAGAGGAGAAGAGACAACGAGACACACTGAGCCCTGATTGAACGGCGGACGAGAGTCGAGCTAACTGGACGGTAGTACAATCACCTTGGGAGCAGCGCTTGCCTTCTGAGAAGCCACGTTCATGGTGTGCGCCTCAAAACACGTTCATGGTGTGCGCCTCAAAACACGTTCATGGTGTGCGCCTCAAAACACGTTCATGGTGTGCGCCTCAAAACACGTTCATGGTGTGCGCCTCAAAACACGTTCATGGTGTGCGCCTCAAAACGCGTTCATGGTGTGCGCCTCAAAACGCGTTCATGGTGTGCGCCTCAAAACGCGTTCATGGTGTGCGCCTCAAAACGCGTTCATGGTGTGCGCCTCAAAACACGTTCATGGTGTGCGCCTCAAAACGCGTTCATGGTGTGCGCCTCAAAACACGTTCATGGTGTGCGCCTCAAAACACGTTCATGGTGTGCGCCTCAAAACACGTTCATGGTGTGCGCCTCAAAACACGTTCATGGTGTGCGCCTCAAAACGCGTTCATGGTGTGCGCCTCAAAACGCGTTCATGGTGTGCGCCTCAAAACGCGTTCATGGTGTGCGCCTCAAAACGCGTTCATGGTGTGCGCCTCAAAAAACGTTCATGGTGTGCGCCTCAAAACACGTTCATGGTGTGCGCCTCAAAACACGTTCATGGTGTGCGCCTCAAAACACGTTCATGGTGTGCGCCTCAAAACACGTTCATGGTGTGCGCCTCAAAACACGTTCATGGTGTGCGCCTCAAAACGCGTTCATGGTGTGCGCCTCAAAACACGTTCATGGTGTGCGCCTCAAAACACGTTCATGGTGTGCGCCTCAAAACACGATCATGGTGTGCGCCTCAAAACACGTTCATGGTGTGCGCCTCAAAACAGGTTCATGGTGTGCACCTCAAAACGCGTTCATGGTGTGCACCTCAAAACGCGTTCATGGTGTGCGCCTCAAAACGCGTTCATGGTGTGCGCCTCAAAACACGTTCATGGTGTGCGCCTCAAAACGCGTTCATGGTGTGCGCCTCAAAACACGTTCATGGTGTGCGCCTCAAAACACGTTCATGGTGTGCGCCTCAAAACACGTTCATGGTGTGCGCCTCAAAACGCGTTCATGGTGTGCGCCTCAAAACACGTTCATGGTGTGCGCCTCAAAACGCGTTCATGGTGTGCGCCTCAAAACGCGTTCATGGTGTGCGCCTCAAAACGCGTTCATGGTGTGCGCCTCAAAACGCGTTCATGGTGTGCGCCTCAAAACGCGTTCATGGTGTGCGCCTCAAAACACGTTCATGGTGTGCGCCTCAAAAAACGTTCATGGTGTGCGCCTCAAAACACGTTCATGGTGTGCGCCTCAAAACACGTTCATGGTGTGCGCCTCAAAACACGTTCATGGTGTGCGCCTCAAAACGCGTTCATGGTGTGCGCCTCAAAACGCGTTCATGGTGTGCGCCTCAAAACACGTTCATGGTGTGCGCCTCAAAACACGTTCATGGTGTGCGCCTCAAAACGCGTTCATGGTGTGCGCCTCAAAACGCGTTCATGGTGTGCGCCTCAAAACGCGTTCATGGTGTGCGCCTCAAAACACGTTCATGGTGTGCGCCTCAAAAAACGTTCATGGTGTGCGCCTCAAAACACGTTCATGGTGTGCGCCTCAAAACACGTTCATGGTGTGCGCCTCAAAACGGCACATAGCTGACTGCGTGCAACACCACCAGCCCTGAAGCATCCAGAAACACACTGAAGATGTTCAAATGCCATTTCTGAGGGGAATAGACCCGGCCTACCTTCTGAGAGGCCACGTTCATGGTACGCAGAAACGGCACGTAGCTGACCGAGTGCAGCACCACCAGCCCTGAGGCATCCCCTGTCACCACAGCATAGCTCCTTGTTGCCGCCCCTCCCATCAACCCCCCACTGAGCCCCCCACTCATAAGATTCGACGCCCCACTCACCAACCCCGCTCCAAAATCACTCCCTCCTCCTTCTCCTGCTCCCCCTCCTCCCCCTCTTCCCTCTCCTCCACCTTTCCCACTGGCCGCAGCAGCGGCAGCACCTCCACCCCCACCTGCACCACCAGACGCAGCACCAGCAGCAGCACCAGCAGCAGCACCACCAGTACCACCACCACCCGCACCACCGGTAGCAGCAGCAGCAGCGCCACCAGCAGCACCTGAAACTGGAAACCCCGACGCAGCAAAGCCAGCATGCACCACCGCTGCAGCATGCTCCCACACCACCCTCACCACCGGCGCCACCAGCCCCCCCAGCGCACTCCCCAGGCCCCCCATCCCGCCCCCTCCCGCCCCCGACCTACCCGCACCCTTCCTCACCCCTCCCCACGCCTCAGATGAAGCCGCTCCCGAGTACCTCGGGCGCAGGGACGAGATATCCCAGAGGACCACAGCGCCAGAGGCCAGCCCTGCTGCTAGCAGGTCAGCGGAGGGGGAGAAGGCGAGTACGGAAATTGATGAGATCCCTTGCTTGTCCGGTGGTGCGCTTGAGAGCGCGGAGACAGGGGGGATCAGCTCTGTGACCCTGGCAGCTGTGGCCAGGTTGCCTGAGGTGACTGTCATTAGCAGCACCTTCCCTCCTGCTGTCCCCACGGCTACAAACATCTCGTGAACAGCTATTGCAGTGGCCGATCGGGGGTTGGCTGCTGAGTCCGTTTTGTTGGGAATGACGTCAGCAGATGCCAGCTCAGCGCAGAGGGGCGGCACGGCGTCAACTTCTAGGAGGCCCACGGCGGGCGGGCCTCTCTCGATCCCCTCGAAGCGGATCGGGGCGAGCGGGAGTGAAGGTAGATCCGCCGCTGATGCTGCTACTGGCGCCGCTGATGCTGCTACTGGTGCCGCTGCAACTGTTGCAGCTGCTGCTGCTGCGGTTGCTGCTAGTTCCGCCGAACCGTCTGCTGCTGCTGCTGCTGCTGCTGCTGCTGCTACTGCTCCTGTTGCAGCTGCTGCAGCTGCTGCTGCTGCTGAGCTGTTTCCGCTCTCCCCAGACCCAGCAGCAGAGACAGAACTATCTCCCGGCCCTCCGTCCCTCACCGCCTCCTGCCCGCCCTCCTCCTTCCTCCACCCCACCAGCAGCTGCATCCTCTCCTTCGCTTCCAGCACCGCCAGCTCATCCCTCCCCTCCCCTTCCTTCTCCCCCCTCTCCTCCCCCACCTCCTCCTCCTCCTCCTCCTCCTCCTCCTCCTCCTCCTCCTCCTTCCCCCCCTTCTCTCCCGTTGCGTCCTTGTGGTCCTTGAAGGCCCCATGGCCATGCATGCGTCGATGGGCACCACTGAGCCCATGTGCACTGGCTGCAGCATCTCTTGCAGCAGGGGAACGGCCATCAGCTGCAGCGCCAGCAGTAGCAGCAGCGCCTGGAGCAGCAGCAGAACTTGCAATGTGGATGGCAGCAGAACCAAGAGGTGGGGCAACCCAGAAGCTCCGAAGGCTCTCAAGTTCACCTGCTGCCAGGGCTGCTGCTGAGACTGCAGCAGCACTGGCCTCATTCAAGCTACCCCCGCCTTCGCCTTCCTCCCCTTCCCACTCATATCCATCCTCCTCCTCCTCATCCTCCTCCTCCTCCTCATCCTCCTCCTCCTCCTCATCCTCCTCCACCTCTCCCTCCTCCTCCACCTCGTCGACTTGCTCGCTTTCCTCCTTGTCATTCTCGCCCGTTTCACCCCTCTCACTCGCCCGAGTGGCCTCACCCACTGCTCCTTCTTCGTTGCTCCTTTCCTCCCCTTCACTCGCCTTACCCTCTTCCTCCCGCCGTCCCTCACTATCTACAGCAACCATAGCCCCAGCATCACCAGCAACACCAGCAGCGCCAGTAGCATCAGCCGCACCAGCAGCACCAGCAGCACCTCTAGTAGTACCAGCACCACTGGCAGCGTCAGCAGCAGCATCGGCATCATCAGCACCAGCAGCATGAGTTGTATGAGGCGCCACTGCCACCGAGGGACCTATTGCCACTTCAGCTGACTCTAAATCTACCGGTCCTGCTGCTCTTGAAGCAGCCACTGCCGGTGCGGCTACAGTTACAGAACCTGCTAAAGTGCCACTGGTGGTTTCGTCTGCCGCTGCAGCAGCAGCAGAAGCAGCAGAAGTCGCAGCAGCAGCAGAAGCAGCAGAAGCAGCAGAAGTCGCAGCAGCAGCAGAAGCAGCAGAAGTCGCAGCAGCAGCAGAAGCAGCAGAAGTCGCAGCAGCAGCAGAAGCAGCAGAAGCAGCAGAAACAGCAGAAGCAGCAGAAACAGCAGGAGCAGCAGAAACAGCAGAAGCAGCAGAAACAGCAGGAGCAGCAGAAACAGCAGGAGCAGCAGAAACAGCAGAAGCAGCAGAAACAGCAGAAGCAGCAGAAACAGCAGAAGCAGCAGAAACAGCAGGAGCAGCAGAAACAGCAGGAGCAGCAGAAACAGCAGAAGCAGCAGAAACAGCAGAAGCAGCAGTGGCCCCCCTTTGTCTCAGCGCCTGTGTCTGACTCAAGACGGCTCGGCGTTGGGCCGCTGCAGCAGCTGCTACTTCCGCAGCAGCAAACGCGGCTCCTGGTCTAATCCTCGGCAACCCACCACGTGATCTACTCACATGGCCGTACCGACTCCCATACCCAATCCCATGCCCATGCCCATGCCCCTGCGCATGCGCATGCCCATGTCTGTGCAACCTACTCTCCACGCCCTCCCCTCCGTACCCCCCAAAAGCAGACCCTCCGAATGCTGATCCCCCAGTACTGCCTGCCCCGGATAGCCCTTCCCCACTGCCTCTTCTCGCCAGCACGCTGACAGGACAGGAGTTCCCGCTCACAACAGACAAATCTCCGAAGCTGCTGTCCGTGGCTGCGCTCTCGGAGCTCCGGGGGCTGTCTAGGGATGCCGAGCCTGCTGTATCCACCCAGGCTGCTTCCTTCGTACCGCCTCCTCCCTCTCCTCCTGCAACAACTCCGCCTCCTCTTCCAATTTCCACATCTACTCCTTCCCCTCCTCCTTCCCATCCTCCTTCTCCGCCTCCGCCTCCTCCCAGCCCAGTGGACCCGGGAAGTTTGCCTAAGTCAGCACTAGGGGCAGTAGCTGGCTGTGGTACATGAGATGGCTCGTGGGCACTAGGCGGTTCCCGAATCGATTCAGGCAGGTTACTAAGTAACCCAGCACCAGTGGCAGCAGTCGGCCGTAGCACATGATATGGCTCGTTGGCGGCACTAAGCAGTCGCTGCTGCATGCTCTCCCTGCTTACGTTTCCCACGCTGACTGCCACCCTGTTTTCCCCTTCGATAGCGGCACTACCCTCTCTCGCTTCAGTCACGCTCTCTTCCCGGTTGCCGCGCCTCTTCCAGTGCCCAAAGGACGGCTCCCGCACATCACAACTCACCCCGTCCCCTTCATTCGCCTCATCCTCCTCATCCTCCTCCTCTTCCTCGCTCCCCTTTCCCTCCCCTCTCTCAACCGCCTTCTTCGCACAAGGCTCTGTACTATGAATCGCAACAGGTGGTCTAAGAACCTGATTGAACACGACAGCACTACCGTCTGCCTCCTCGTTTTGCACATCCCTAATCTCCGCACTACCGTCTGCCTGACGCTTGATCTCCATCCCCGTATACCGATCATGACCACTACCAATTCCGTCGCTGTCCCACTGCCCGAACGACAGATCTCGACCGTCCAAAGATTGGGGGCTCCCAGGGCTGCCTGATCCGCCAAGGCCACGTGGCAACGAGCCATTGGACGCGGCTGAAGAGGCGTCTACAGTGACGCATGGGTTATCTAGTATAGGAAGGACAGCGGATTTTTCTTTAGCAGGCTCTAAACGAGGCACAGTCAGGGAGAGATGGTTATCCCCGTTAGAAGGCAGAATAGCTGCTCCAACTTCATCACGAGCAGAAACGCCTGACTCGGGTCTATTTTCCAAGTTTCCGTCACTAGCCTCTGCCACGTCATCGTCGTCATCCGACACGTCATTCAGGATCTCCTCCAGGCTGCGCCCACCCCACAGACCCTCTCCGAAATCGTCCACGTCATCCAGGTCATCGTCGTCGCTCGCTGCCGCCAAAAGCGCGTCAATATCGATGTCGAATTCATCCAGCTTTTCCTTCTTCGCCTTATTCTCCTTAATCTCCTTAATCTTCTTCTCAGCGCTGCTATTGCCGTCCTCCTCGTCCGATCCCGTGCCAGCCATTTCTAGAAACCGGACTCGACCCCACTACGTCGACAATGTAAACATGCTTGTCAACCCTAATAAGCAAACTATAGCAGTCTCCTGACTAGGTTGACACCTTAGCATCCTAACTAATACTGTACAGGGTGTCGAACTCTCTTGGCTGCGCTGGGAATGCCAAGCTTCACCGATATCAGCGATTCGAGAATATTGACCAGTGCAAGCAACCACAAGCACATCTGAAACATCTTACCCAATACTATTCCTCCTAAAATATGGAACCATAATGGCCATCTCTAGGTATGCTTTGCTTCTACATCCTATAAAATCCATTTAGTGTTTCCGTTCTTCATTTCTTTTCACATTATTCTCATCAGCTTTGGCACATCAACTCTGATCCTCCTCTTGCATACGATAATCCCCTATCATCGAATTGCTATCAATGGGCATTTTATTATCATTATACTTTCTTGATCTACATTTGTTGGTGTATACCACGGAATGCATAAACGTAACTCTGTTGAGTATACTGTTGAAGTTAGCTAGGTAGCTAGGTAGGTAGAGAAGCCATGGAAATGGCGAGAGGTTTTAGGCTAGGAGAAAGTTACGAGAGAGAAGAGAGCGAGACTAGAAGAGAAGGAGATACAAGACGGGGGGTTGTCCCCTCTACAGTACGATTCAATAAGTAGCACATCTACCAAGCCTACACAAAGATATATTTAAATATATACTTTGACACATCCCCTAGGCTTGGTAGTGGCAAGCCCATCCCACCCGTAGCAACCCCACATCATTGCACCCCCATTCCATGCAGCAGTAGTGGCGTCGACCAGCCGGTCGACCCCTCGGCAAGCGAGGTGGCGACGTCGACGGCGGGTCGCAGCGGCGGCGGCGGCGTCGTCAGCGACTGCGGCGGCGGCGGCGGCGGCAGGGCGTGTTGCACCTACGGCAGCGGCGGCGGCATCGAGGCACCCGGCAACGGCGGCTGCGGCACCCGAGGCACCCTGTGGCGTGGCTCAACCTGCGACGACGAGGGGGAGGACGGCATGAGGTCGCCAGCAGCTGCGGCGGGGAGGAAGGGAAAGGCAGAGGGGGGGAAGGGGAAAGGATGGGGGGCGGATCTTCAGCGCGGCACCATGGCTGGCGCGGCGCTTACTGGCGTGCGGGCGGGCTCGACGCGGCTAACACGGTGCGCGGCCCGCTGGTGCGTCGACGCCACCGTGACAGCACGACGACGCCGCTACGACTTGACGTCGACGCCACGACAGCGCGACGAGGCTGCCACGGCAGCGCGTCGAGACCACTACGGCAGCACGACGCGGCCGGCGGCACAAGGACGCTGCCACAGCAGCACGACGCGGCCGCCATGGCAGTGCGAGAGAGAGAGAGGAGGAGTGCGCAGCGGAAGCAAGAGAAGAAGGTCCAGCAAGTTGAACCTACTCTGATACCACGTTGAAGTTAGCTAGGTAGCTAGGTAGGTAGAGAAGCCATGGAAATGGCGAGAGGTTTTAGGCTAGGAGAAAGTTACGAGAGAGAAGAGAGCGAGACTAGAAGAGGAGGAGATACAAGAAGGGGGGTTGTCCTCTCTACAGTAGGATTCAGTAAGTAACACATCTGTTGGGCTGATAAAAGCCCTTAGGATCGTTCTAGAGACTAAGTCCCACTTGTACAAGATGCTTGAGTAGTGCAGCAGAAGTGTTTGAGTAGTTGAACCCTTGCACTAGTATGTGAGAGCAAGTGATTGATTAAAAGAAACAAGCATACAGCAATATATAGAAAATAGGAAAGTAAAGCAGTTGTAGAGTACAGTTAAAGGAACAGTTATCGAGTCGCACATCGACTCGATTGTCGGTTCGGTTACCACCTTTGCAGTTGTAACGGTCAGTCGCAACCTCCGGTTGCGACCCTTCGAGTCCTTTTCGTCCTTTCGTGTTCTTTCGTCCATCTCCTCATGTAACCTCCGTTGACTCGCGTACCCGTTACGACTTTCCTCGAGTGTAGTGTTAAACTTCAGAAACGCTGAAGTCCTCGAGATATTTCCAACACTCCCCTTCGTTTTTGGAGTGCTGACGTGTCTGGATTCGGTGACGTTTATCTGCCCGGTCAGCAACATGCAGTAATCAAACTTTGCCTTCGCCAGTTTCTTCGTCAAGTAATCTGCAGCCATTTCTGTCGTACGACAGTAACCGAGTTGAAGTCTCCCTTTCGCGATCTCATCCTTGACGAAGAAGTACCGTAGGGCAATGTGCTTGGTTCGATTGGCGAACCCGTCTTTGTTCGCGATTTTGATCGCGGATTGGTTGTCGCAGAATAACGAGAAGGCGGGCATGGTCGCAATTTTCGCTTCCTCGAGCAGCTCCCGCAGGTAAATTCCTTCTTTGGTTGCAGTGCAGAGAGCGATATATTCCACTTCAGCGGAAGATAGAGCGATTAATTCCAGCTTGCTCGATTGCCAGGAGATAGTTCCGATAGGTTCTAGTCGGTAGATGTAGCCCGTTCTAGAGTGACGGTTCTCCCTATCTCCCGCGTGGTCGGCGTCGACATAGCCGAGTAGTTGTACAGACGATGTTGTTACTTTGTTGTAGGTAAGTCCAGTCGTCGGCGTAGAGACGAAGTAGAGCAGTGCCCGATTTAGTTCCTCGAGATCCTCTTGCTCCGGCTGCTTCAGGTGTGTCGCCAGTTGGCTTGCGCTGTAGGACAGATCCGGTCGACAGGTTACTGCTGCGAATAGTAGACAGCCGAGCTTCTGTTGATATTCCTGGATTTGCTTCGCGGGGAGTTTTGCGGAGGTGTCGCTGTTGTTCCCGTAGCGGTAGGGAGTTGCGACTGTGACTGGCGTTAGGTCGAATTTCTTCGCGACAACGCTTGCGTATTTTCCGGCGTGTAGGTAGAGCGCTGAGTCATCTTCGACGATGTTTAGACCCAAGTATTGGCTCGCGGTGTCTGACACCGTGAGTGTTAAATCCCTCCTCAGCTCCCCTTCGAACCAGGTGGTGACGTCGGTAGTGGAGCCGAAATAGAGTAGATCATCGACGTAGACGATGAGTAGGACGAAATCCCCCCCCTTCTGTAGTCGGTACATGCCTTGATCGTGCGACAGCTGCAGAAAACCGATCCTGACGAGGCGGTCGTGGAGGTGCTGCTGCCAGAGCCGCGGGGCTTGTTTAATTTCGTAGAGGGATTTCACCAGCTGGCACACCTTTGTGGGATCGTCGATGAATCCGTGGGGCTGTTCGACGAACATTTCGGCGTCCACAGGTGCATACAGGAAGGCGTTGGCAACATCGATCTGGCGCAGAGGTAGCTTTTTCGTGGCCGCGACGGCGAGCAAAATGCGCAGGGAAGTGTGTCGGGAAACCGGGGCGAATGTCTCCGTGTAGTCGGTTCCATATCGCTGGTCGAATCCTCGTACGACCCAGCGAGCTTTGAAGCGGTCGATGGAGCCATCCGCATTGGTCTTGATGCGATACACGCATTTCCCTGAGAGCACATTTTTCCCGTTGGTTTTTGTCGCAGATACCAGCTTTCACGTATTTCGGTCTTGCAGGGCCTTCAGTTCCTTTTCCATTGATTCCTTCCATTTTGCCTTGTGTTCCCCCCCCAGAGCCTGCGACAGAGTCGATGGCTCGCGTGGTGACGGCGGTGGCGGGCTCTGGACGGCGACCCATAGTCCAAGTATCTGCAGGCCCGTGGGTGAGTGTCGAGGGGAATTGGTATTCTCGGGATAAGCTGCTTCGTCACCGTCTTCGGGATCTGGGAAGAAATTTGGTCTGATGCGTTCAGAGACATTTGTGTCGACCGGTTGAGGTGTAGCGTAACCCTGGTCAGCGAAGTGATAATAGGTGTCAAGGTTGTTACTAACGAGAGGGTTGTCGTCGTCGAGTGGAATAGGCACGGAGCAGTAAGGGAGTGGCCCGGCAGCTTCCGAGGCTTCAGGTACGTCTTCTTCTACTGCGTCAGCTTCGGCAGCACGGTCGGCGAAGGACCGATGGCCCTCGAAGCCGTCGGTGGGGTCGTCTGTGTTGGCGATGTTGTCCAGGTAATGTTGCAGCGTCAGTCGCTCGTAGAAAACCACATCACGTGAGGCCACGGTGGTTTTGTCCTGAATGTCGAGAAGTTTCCATGCTTGGAAATGTTTTGCGATGCCGAGGTGTAGTCCCCATCGTGCTCGTTGAGAGAATCGACCTACTCGGGCTGTGTGGGGTCTGTACTGTACCATGCAGCCGAAGACTCGAAGTAATTTTGTGCTGCCCTGTTTTCCTGTCCACAGCAGGTGCGGTGATGCGCTGTTGGGAATTGATGACGAGGACAGCAGATTGTGCAGGTGGACTGCATGCGTCATCGCGTCAGGCCAAAGCGTGTTGGGCAGTCTCATCCCTAGGAGCAGCTTCCGCATCGTCGTTTGCAAAGTTCGGTTCATCCTCTGCTGCTGGTGAGCGTAGGGCAGGGACACCAGGCGTCTGATGCCTCTTTCTGCCAAGTAGTTCCTGAATCATTGAGACTGGTACTCTAGTGCTCCATCTGACTGGAAGCTCTTGAGTTGCGAGTCCGATTCTCGTTCACCGATGGGGAGCCACGTCGTGAAGGCTTCAAACGCTTGATCTCGTGTCTTGAGGTTGTAGTGCCAGACGTATCGTGTTGCTGCGTCGATGAACATTATAACATAGTTGTACTCTGCTTCACTGTCGTCTCGAGGCATATTTAAGATGTCGCTGTAGACTTTTTCCATCGGTGCGTATGCAGGTGCGCTTGGATTGTGGTGCGACGGAAAAGGTTGGTGGGAAAGATCAGCTTTGGGGCACGTGAAGCATCGTGCGCGGGGTCGTCGAAGTTCCTGGCTGCTTGTTGTGAGAAGAGCGTTCTTTTCTAACACTCCAGCTTATATGGTTTGTAGCACTGTGCTGTTTGCAGGATGCCCGAGGCGTTGATGCCAGATGTCGTCGGGAGCGCGATGGCCGGGTGAGCGCTGGTACATGTCGGCGTTGGAGAAGAATGCGACGACCGTTGCAAGACTGCGGCAGACTCCTCGGGTGATGGGCATGAGTTGATCTGCTTCGGATGGCGGTCCTCGAATTGCTGGTGATGGCATACGGCTGGGTCATGCTGCTGCTGCTACAGGTGATGTCATGTGAGGG